ATGTGGCTGCACTCTCACTCGCTCGCCCACCCACCCACTCACTCACTCCTGTTCATGAGTTTCCAGCTGAGCCTTGCATGGTGGCATACATAGGTAAAACTTCATGTATATGGAGGGCCCTTCTTCAGTCCTGCCTCCTGTGGAGAATTGGTTGTGAAAGTGGACCACAAATAAGATGTTGGACTGTGAGTCTGCAACCAATTAAAATGAATCGTCTGAACTATGTGGCGTAGAACTATTTTCAAAATGGTGGACTTGTACGCACAAGCCTACAATATTATTCAGGTTCACTCGATTATTCTGCTACATTTCATAATACCTCTGGCAGCAGTAGAGTTGTGACATGCAGTTACTGTAAAGTATGTGACACCGGGTCCCACCACATTCAGATTGTATAACGCAGAGCAGAGGCGGATCCAGGATGTGGTGGGGTGCGCATAATACCCAAGTCACGAGACAATTTGGCCGAGGGCACAGTGCAGAGACTACTTTTGAAGACTGTGATGAAATGAGTTGTACACTTTGATTTGAAGACAAGAAATTTGAACAGTCAAATTAGGTTAATGTCTGACACCTTCTTGGGTTGTGTCATGACAGTCACTAATTGCAATATATGGCTTCCGGCATGTGCAACCAAAGCTATTAATATAATTTATGTCCTGTATATCCTGTTATCCTGTCCATGAAAACAAGCAGAGGGAAGACTGTTGATCATTTGCCCGTTTCACAGGGTGATTTTAGCGCTACGACTGTCGTAAGCCTATGTTAAAGTATGGGGGTTAAGATCGCCTTAGCACCACGACTATCGTAAGCCTATGTTAAAGTATGGGGGTTAAGATCGTCTAAGCACTACGACTATCGGAAGCCTATGTTAAAGTATGGGGGTTAAGATCGCCTTAGCACTACGACTATCGTAAGCCTATGTTAAAGTATGGAGGTTAAGATCGCCTAAGGACTACGACTATCGTAAACCGATGATAAAGTATGGGGGTTAAGATCGTCTAAGCACTACGACTATCGGAAGCCTATGTTAAAGTATGGGGGTTAAGATCGTCTTAGCACTACAACTATCGGAAGCCTATGTTAAAGTATGGGGTTGAAGATCATCTTAGCACTACGACTATCGGAAGGCTATGTTAAAGTAAGGGGGTTAAGATCATCTTAGCACTACGACTATCGGAAGCCTATGTTAAAGTATGGGGGTGAAGATCGTCTTAGCACTACGACTATCGTAAGCCTATGTTAAAGTATGGGGGTTAAGATCGCCTTAGGACTACGACTATCGGAAGCCTATGTTAAAGTATGGGGGTTAAGATCGTCTAAGCACTACAACTATCGGAAGCCTATGTTAAAGTATGGGGTTAAGATTGCCTTCGTACTACGATTGCTTTGTGGAATGGGCACATGATCAACAGCCTTCCCTCTGCTTGTTTTCAAGAGAGAAGGTGAGTTTCAGGTTCATTGCTGTCTTGTAGCTGTGGTCAGTGTCGAGATAACTGCCTGCTGGCCTGTCTGTGGCTGGTAACTTTTCTGTCAGGCTGCATGAAATTAGGAATCTATTTTGGAAACACTATTGGGCAGTCAAAACGAAATGGTGTATACGGAGCAGCACAGAGATGCAGTCACCACAGTTGTACTGTTGTGGAGATATCGCACATCCCTTGATGTCAGCAAGAGTGGATGGGTAGCTTTTAGTGTTATGTCATTGAATCAGACTATAACAAAGCTATAGTAGTGGTAGCTCATGGGTCAGGGGTATGTCTCATGAAGTGTGTTCCCTGGATAATCGAGGAGGGCCCTTGAGGACCCTGCTAGTAATTGTTCCACAGTGTGTGGTGGTCAAACGACGCGACTTCATGGATCAGGTGGGCTGACTGTGCCTTGTCTGGTTGTGTGGCATCATACACTAATGTGGGGGGTGTTGCTGGCTATTTCTGGGACAGGTTTGTTTGGCCCAGATTTGATTATTTACAGAGGGGCCTGATGTGGCAGGAATATTTTTGACTGCTGTGTAAACAGCAACAAACCAATGATGACTGTCACCTTTGGACAACCACAAGACAGAATATTGTGGTCAATAAAACCAGAAATTAATTTTCAAGAAATTGTCTTTATCATCATAACGTCTGCTGGTGACAACACAAGTTGCATGTTGGAGTCTCTGAGTTTGTCTCGTGTGAACCAACTGAGGTTGAAAACTGAACACAAAGATATAGGTTTAGGTTGAGGTTGAGGTTGAGTTAACAGCGTGTGAATGAGTGAGAGTAGATGTCTCTCTAGGTCCTTGCATCCTGAGCCTTCACGTGATCAGGGTGGTGACAGCTGATATACTGGCCTGTGTAGTTGGACGGCTGTACCAAGTACCCCCCCTGTACACAAACATAGAGCTCCTTGATGTATGACCGACTTGACGTCTCTAATCCCACTGGGACGGGACGGAGAGACATTCAACTGAATAGATTTCATTTTATGTTTTTTATAAACACTTTCGCTTAAAGTTTGAAGGTGTGTCTATGTTTTGATGGAGTAGAACATAGGTGTAGTTTGAGCTGACTTTTACATGACTGTGGTGTCTTGAAGATGGCCTACAGGACGGATATACTCCTGAACAGGTTTATCATATTAATGGTTAGGAATAGTGTAAGCTTTATGTTTGTATGGTAAAGATTCTTTTAACAAGGGACTTAGTTGCTGGGGCTCAACCCCCAAAAGTACTAGAATTTGTACTTTAGTAAGAAAGCGTTGTCCCAAATATAACATTTGTTACGTTTGACCACTTTCTACATAGCATTGTGTGTTCATAGTTTTCGGTCATGGGAGGCAGGCCAATTTACATTTGTCAGAGGGAGACACAAAGTGTGTGACTGCCAGTTGTCAGACTTTCATTTTTTGTGGAAGCCTCACTGGCTGAGTGGGTTAGATCACTGACTTTGTGTGCTGGTGATTTATTGCCGTTACTCTGAGAGTGTGGTTTCGAATCCCGAATGGGACTCAACCCAAAAAAGTACTAGAATTTGTATTTTATGAAGAAAGTTTTATCCCAAATATAACATTTGTGAAACAAGCAATGGTTGTCTGCTTGCCATGAGGACGCATATCTGTAGCCTGATTGTACATGCTGTAGGGAAACAGTCTCTCTATTCAATACATATGCAGTGCTTAGTATGTTGTCCTCCTGTGAAATATAATTGTAACATTTAACTTTTAAGCATGATGGAACAAAAACACTAACAAAGAAACTGATCAGGCCTTTTCCTACAATGAATAAGGATTTTGAGATATTATACGTGGCAATGTCAACAGACATTTGACAATATACAACAGGAGGTGCAGTACTAGTAAGCAAGTGAACTTGTTGATTGATGACATGCATCTGAATCATTGTCAATGGAAACATCTTGATTGGGAATATTGATACATGAGTTCCTGTCAAGAAGGTTTACAACACACATTGCTGGTTCACTCCAAGTATCACAGTTCTGTAATTTCTACAGATCACACACATACAATATAATATTAAATGGGGCAACTAGATCTTTTGGTGTGTGTGCCTTTTCTGACTTTTCTTTGAGAAATAGTATTTTACTGTAAAAAAAGGTATTCAATAAAAGCCTGCTTTCAAAGAAAGATAAGGAATGGTTTATTAGTAATGAAGCACAACAAATTTACACGAGTTGTATAATATATGGACAATACTGGGAAGTGACAAAACTATGTTGCAACTCAAGAATGAGGAGAAAAGAGGGTTTATGGTCAGGGGATCCAGATTAGGGTTGGTTGGGAAAGCCTCATATTTCTGTATTGGCCTTACCATACCTCTGCATTGTCAAGAATGGTTTGTACCGGACTTGTTGCCAGGTGTGGGGTTGGGAAAGCCTCATATTTCTGTATTGGCCTTACCATACCTCTGCATTGTCAAGAATGGTTTGTACCGGACTTGTTGCCAGGTGTGGGGTTGGGAAAGCCTCATATTTCTGTATTGGCCTTACCATACCTCTGCATTGTCAGGAATGGTTTGTACCGGACTTGTTGCCAGGTGTGGGGCATGCAGGCTGAGTCAAGGGGTTTACAGGCTTGGCTCAGAAGGCCCCTGTTGACACCTAGCTGCCACAGATTATCAGATATTGAACTGACAAAAGAATTCCCTCATTTATACAAGTAATGCTCTTAGACTTTTGCTGCTTAGTGGAAAGAGCTGGATTAAATAACTGTCCATGTTGACATGAAGATGTCTGCCTTAGCTAATCTGCAAGATGATGGATGGACATTTCATTGAAGCTTTGATCTAGAAATGAGATTTTCAGAACCTGAAAATGAAATATATATTTGCCAGATTGGATTGGATAGTCTGAAGACAGTGTACATGTTTAAATTGCTCTTTCCATGAATTCATGATATCATCTTGGACAAGAGGTGAGGTGAGGTGAAATGGGGTTATTGATAAGATTTATAATAAGATTATTGCACTTATATAGCGACGTGTGGCTGCTTGTACTAGTCCGGACTGATGCCGATTTATAGTGCTAGCTCACTGAGATAATATGCCGCAGTTTAACATGAATACCCCACTCAGACACAGTATACTGACTCCGAGCCGACCTTTTTAAGCCCCTTAATGTCTAGCGCCAGACAGGTTCACAACAAGTACGATCTTTTAACGTCTTTTGGTATGACGCGGCCGGGGATCGAACCCCGGACCTTCCGCTCTACGGGTGGACGCTCTACCACTAGACCATGGAGGCGATCACTTGGACAAGAAGAACATTGAGGGTGATTGTATGTTGTGGACATTGTAGTGCATTTGGTGATGTATTCCTGATGTGTGTGTGGTGTGCGTGCGTGCGTGTTTAAATCAATCCTGATCATAATGGGTATTCAGTGTGGTCTGTCTGTCTGTCTGTGTACGGATAGAATCTTCTATGTGATCTTTTTATGTGGACAGTGAGAATGTGATAAAAGAATATATTATATTTTAACCTTTTCATTTCATATCCTTTCAGGTACCTATTTGCTGGAATACAAAGGGGAGATAACTGCGCTTGCCTTAACAACACGAACAGCCTGTCAGCAGTCAACAAATCCTTCTGCTCACAACGGTAGGTCTGTATGAATACATGTAGTGCTCATGATGGAGAGACAACATAGGACTTGTTTGTGTTACATGAGCATGTATCCTCCCTTTGTTGTTTAGTCCTCCTCACACCCCCCTTACACTAGGGTTGACTACCTGCCTCATCCGATGCCTGTGATGTACATGGAGATGGACTGTTCCAGTTATTAGTGGAGCTTGTCTCTGTTACTCTGTCGAAGATAACAAATTCAACATAATAGTGATATCTTTTTGTGATACAGTGAACACCAACTTGATAGCATCAATAGTGTATTATTGACAGATAGAAACCAATTGCTGAGTTCTAACAGATTGGTCCAGGAATTCCTGTGAATGTAGTAAATATTCTCCTCTCTCTCTCTTTCTCTCTCTTCCCCCCCCCCCCCCCCCCCCCCCCCCTATTTGTAAAGGTATCAAGGTGAGACGTAGCAACGTAAACAAAAAAATGAAGCTGAACAAGATATGATTAATCATCGCTGAAGTGATTTTTCCTGTTAAGTTTATTTTTTTAGGAATTATGTTAAATGAAAACTGGCTACAATGGAAGAAATAATAGGCTGTCCCATTATAGATGCAGGGGTGGTCAGGGATACATCCCACATTCTGGGGTTTCACAACTGGGTGTATATATACCACTCAAAAGAAGTTAAAGAACCCCCAATTGTATATATAAGTAATGGGAATGGACCTTACATGATATGATCAGTATATCAAGATTGCCACCTTTCTTGAACCCTTTCTTAAACTCTTTCTTGAACCCTATAGTCTTGTATGAAAATCACGAGTCTATTCTGCTAATGACAGATTTTGGTTATATTATTGTGATCTTAGTGTGGTTTTTGGAAGTAAGATATGTAAGTAATTACCAGGTAGAATGGACGATCAACTTCTTTATTACCAGATTGCTGAAGCAATGTATTGGTGTCGCTCACATGCCGTGATATAACTGGAATAATTATGTTTTGCTGTGAGCATGCACCTTGAGTATGGAGTCTGCCACACTATCAGTACACATTGTTATTTTTTATTATTTATGTTATTTGAAGCTGCATTAAAACCAAACTCACTCACTCCAACAATCTAAGTATCTTTTATCATAATCTCATTGTATGCTTTGAACAATTTTAATTTGATCCAAATAAATTGAACTGCCGGTGAGAACATAAAGCTTTGATACTGTGGTGACATCATCAAAGACATATTCTTGCTTCCCTGTGCATGAACTCTTCACAGAGTTGTTTTGGTTTTTGACTGTGTGACCTGTCACACAACAATGAAAGCTGTCAGTGTGGACGTGTGACGATGCTGTAGTTGATGTGCAGCTGTTGGTCCGTGTATGCTTCACAGATGAGTTGCTGTGACCTGCTGTGTCACTTGTCACTTCGTCAACTTGCTTCTCTCGTCCTGTTCTGTTTGACAGAAAGCTTACATATTTCAATAACATCTATGTCCATACTTCTGTCACTAGGTCTATCACCATATATGACCAGGGTCCACTTGCACAAAGTGATCTCAGGACTACGACTGTTGTAAGTCTATGTTATAGTATGGTAGTTATGATCATCTCAGCACTACGACTGTTGTAAGTCTATGTTATAGTATGGTAGTTACGGTCATCTCAGCACTACGACTGTTGTAAGTCTTTGTTATAGTATGGTAGTTACGGTCATCTCAGCACTACGACTGTTGTAAGTCTATGTTATAGTGTGGTAGTTACGGTCAACTCAGCACTACGACTGTTGTAAGTCTATGTTATAGTATGGTAGTTATGATCATCTCAGTACTACGACTGTTGTAAGTCTATGTTATAGTATGGTAGTTATGATCATCTCAGCACTACGACTGTTGTAAGTCTATGTTATAGTATGGTAGTTACGCTCATCTCAGCACTACGACTGTTGTAAGTCTATGTTATAGTATGGTAGTTATGATCATCTCAGCACTACGACTGTTGTAAGTCTATGTTATAGAAATTGGAGTTACGATCATCTCAGCACTACAACTGTTGTAAGTCTATGTTATAGAAATTGGAGTTACAATCATCTCAGCACTACAATTATTTTAAGTCTATGTTATAGTATGGGAGTTATGATCACCGTAGCGCTAAGATGGCCTTGTGCAACGGGCCTCAGATTGGCATACCATGTGCTGACTCAAGTTACAAAGATGTGTTTATAACAGATTCAGTCCAGCATGAGTTGACCATTTGACCATTTCCCAACATCTCTGCAGTTTCCAGAAGCAGGTTAGTGTAGGTCCCCAACATGCTATCTCTTAGAAGCATCTCCAGTGGACTGGGTGGTCAGGTGACTTGGTTGCATACCATTTTACCCCGATGGTGTTTGACGTTGATGATGGTATGAGTCACTGGTTTGTCTTACCCAGACTCAATTATTTACATGCTGCTGTGATATAGTTGGAATATTGGTTGTAGGGCCTTAAGACAACTGACAACACATTTCTCCAAACCGTCTTAATGTTTTCAGTGTACAACATGAAGTGCTATTCTTTCCAAATTGTTGGTACGGTTGATGCAGTTGTATATTGCATCTCTATTCGCTGTGCAGAGTTGCATCTCTTAGGCTTGGAATGGTCCTTTTGTGGCAGTTTTGTCCTGATTATTTTCCCTGATTATGTACCATACCCTTGATCTTGGGATTTCCCGAAGTGGTAAAGATGTGAGACCGCTATCCGAAATAACTGCTTTCTTCCTCAAATGCCTGTGTACTGGGACACACAGACAGATCATGTGCCTTAAACTCGGACACACAGACAGATCATGTGCCATGTACTGGGACACACAGACAGATCATGTGCCATGTACTGGGACACACAGACAGATCATGTGCCTTAAACTGGGACACACAGACAGATCATGTGCCATGTACTGGGACACACAGACAGATCATGTGCCATGTACTGGGACACACAGACAGATCATGTGCAGTGTACTGGGACACACAGACAGATCATGTGCCATGTACTGGGACACACAGACAGATCATGTGCCATGTACTGGGACACACAGACAGATCATGTGCCATGTACTGGGATGATGACACAGACAGATCATGTGTCATGTACTCGGACACACAGACAGACAATGTGTCATGTATTGGGACACACAGACAATGTGCCATGTATTGGGACACACAGACAGACAATGTGCCATGTATTGGGACACACAACCAGATCATGTGCCATGTATTGGGACACACAGACAATGTGCCATGTATGGGACACACAGACAATGTGCCATGTATTGGGACACACAACCAGATCATGTGCCATGTATTGGGACACACAGACAATGTGCCATGTATTGGGACACACAGACAGACAATGTGTCATGTACTCGGACACACAGACAGACAATGTGTCATGTATTGGGACACACAAGCAGATCATGTGCCATGTACTCGGACACACAGTCAGACAATGTGTCATGTATTGGGACACACAGACAGATCATGTGCCGAGTACTGGGACACACAAGCAGATCATGTGCCATGTATTGGGACACACAACCAGATCATGTGCCATGTATTGGGACACACAGACAGATCATGTGCCATGTGCTGAGGCACACAAGCAGATCATGTGCCATGTACTCGGACACACAGACAGACAATGTGTCATGTATTGGGACACACAGACAGATCATGTGCCGAGTACTGGGACACACAAGCAGATCATGTGCCATGTATTGGGACACACAGACAGATCATGTGCCACTGTATTGGGACACACAGACAGATCATGTGCCATGTGCTGGGACGATTACACAGACAGATCATGTGCCATGTGCTGGGACGATTACACAGACAGATCATGTGCCATGTATTGGGACACACAGACAGATCATGTGCCATGTATTGGGACACACAGACAGATCATGTGCCATGTACTGGGACACACAAGCAGATCATGTGCCATGTGCTGGGACGATTACACAGACAGACTTTGTGCCGTGTACGGGGACACACAAGCAGATGATGTGCTGTGTACTGGGACACACAGACAGATCATGTGCAGTGTACTGGGACACACAGACAGATCATGTGCCATGTACTGGGATGATGACAGATTATTACAGGGGTGATGTTTGAAGTAAGTAAAATGTCCTATACAGCGAATGTTTGTGGTAAGTAAAATATTCTTTTCATTTTGCTTGCTTGGTTTACATTTTTTAATATCAAACGTCTTATATATATCATGGTGAAATGTTGGATGTAGGTAAAATAATTAATATATCCTGGATAAAAAGTATGACATAGAATTGATCTATCATTTGGAAAGGCATGACTATTAATAGAAGTCCCTGTTTGTCAAATTCTGTCATTTTTTAAAGTTGGCCTCTAATAACCATCAAAACAAATGTATTGCATTCCCATGGAAACCATACCTTCTTTTTTGAAACCATTTCAAATGTATTTATGTGTCAGGGATGTTATGATAGCTGGTCCACGTAATGTTTTAGAGTAAATATAATCTTGTTAATTCTGTGCCCGTACAATACGTTGTGACATAGCTTAGTGATGAAGAGCTAATTCCCTGGACATCAAAGGAACCCTTGATGAGGACTTGCACCAATTAAAGATAAGAAAGAGGTGATTCATTTCAAAAGTTCCAACCTTATCTGTTATATTTTCCCCATAAGGTTATGTATAGTAAGGAATGTGTAAGAACTAGTTGCATTGGGTGGAGTTTCCGGAACCGAGACATCTAGCGGTGACATTTCAACAGGATGTGTCTCACTGGGGATGTTATCCGAGATTATTTGAAAGACACTGGAAAATGTTTAGAAATGTCTATCGTGTTTTTACTAGCACTGGAATTGTATGCAATACGGCTGCTGGCCCTTTTGAATGAAAGTCTCAGAATATCCAAACTGTTCCTTGTTTGACTTTGACTTTGCTTAGTTTCTGTTACTAATTTTGAAATTTGTCAAAATTCAACTTAATGATTCAAGATGTGACAACATGAGTAATCTATTTGGTCAATTTATCAGATTATGACGTGTCCTGTCGGAGTTGTGGTCATATTTTAAGATTTACAATTCTGTTTCACTAGGTTGTCCAAGTGTTGATTATTCAAGTACCTGTTCATGTTCAGTGTAATTTATTAGCGTAGGTTGATCTAGGCTTATACCGAGGAACTGTTTGGACAAGATTGTGGGTGAACGAGAAGGGCTCCACAAGCCAAGTTTCTGATAAGGCACTTACAGGTTTCGAGGTTTGCAATCTTAGATACGCGTTTGATCATAAGTAATCTCCTGTTGGTGTATGTTAACATGGTGTCTGTTACTGGAGTCATTGTACAAGTGGGCTAGTTTTGAAGAAGGCTTCTTGTAATCCAACTGACGCCAACTGTCCTTGATTCTGTAAATGCTTCTGCACTAGGGTTTGATTTGATTTAACTTTCACTTGTCTTTGAAAAATCAATAATGCCCAATAATGTTGAGATAGTCATCACATGTTTCTTCAGATTCACCACAACATAATTGAGTGAGTGATTTGGGTTTAACACCGCTTTGAACAGTACAGGGTTTTGGTGCTGACAAACCTAGAAACATCATGTGAACAAACTGGGATTGGGATTATTCCATTCGTAGCAATTGTGGAGGGATTTCATACACTCGACACATTCATGACACATAATATTGATGTAATACAGACAGCATTGTTGACATCAGTTTAATAATAATAATGCTGACACAGTGTATCGTTGGTTATGTCATGTTGACCCTGTTGCCTTCAGAACATGGACATAACGTCTTCACTACAGATACAGTGTGGACAATAAAGAGATTATTGTGTTATCTCAATCAGGAAATACAAGAATTAGGACACTTGTCATTTGGCTGTTTTTCGATGTTCACTTCTGTAAAAATAGATTACACCTGACGAAAATGTACACAAATGCTTACTTCAGCACTTTTTAAAAAACAAAAGACGCTGGCCTCTGACTTTTTACGGAGTAGTAAGTTGTGAATAAATCTTCTGAGGGAAACGGAACTGTCTCAGGGTTGAGCGATTGGGCAAACTAATTTGGGTTCGATTTTGTAAACTTGTGTTCACTCACCCGGTGGTTTGGACCTTCCAATCAATCTTTTACTGGGGGATTCTCATCAGTGAGGTGGTAGTGTCATACTTGTTTGCTCACTGGTGCTCATGTCATCAGCCCCTGGTGAGCCTGCTCCAGGACCCTTGATTTCTTGATGATGGTCACTTAGAAATGTCTTGTATGTACAAGTGTACAGTGAGAATTTTTTTGTATGTGCAGGTGTACAGTGAGAAATGTCTTGTATGTACAGGTGTACAGTGAGAAGTGTCTTGTATGCGCAGGTGTACAGTGAGAAGTGTCTTGTATGTACAGGTGTACAATGAGAATATTATACTTTCAGATGTTCTGGTGTTGCGGAAAAGCTGCCGCTGTGGTGTGGGGGGCAGGCACAGGAATGGAGTCTGTACCATGCTGCTGGACCCTACCTGGTCACACTCAACGCCCAGATAGAAGCCCAAACAATCGTGGTCAACTCAGCCGTGTCGCTCGACGCCATACTGGAATATGCCAGATATATCAACTTCACACAAGGTATGGCCAAAACAAACTATTCCTGGTTTCCAGACACCGACCCCATCAGCAAAACACTCTGCATAATAGCACATGCCACACTAAAGATATAGCATGAGACAGCACTGCAACTATCACAAGTTGAGGTCAGATTATGGGCTTGATGTGTCTTAGCACTAAGATTATCGTAAGTCAATGAATATGGGTGTGATGATTGTCTTGGCACTACAACGATCGTAATTCTGTGTAAGAGTATATAGGTGTGATATTTATCTCGGCGCTTCAACTGCCATAAGTCAATGTAAGTGTAAGTATGTAAGTATTCCTTATGATATTGCTACGCTTATCGTAAGTCAATGTCAGAGTATTTTTATGATTATCACCTTAGCACTACGACTTCGTAATTGTGTGTCAGAGTAGAGAAGCTCCAACTAAGTTTGTGTTATATTTAGAAGTAATGATAGTCTTTGCACTGTGAATATCGTAAGATGATGTTAGAATTCAACTCTACGAATACTGTGTATCTGGATTTGAGTCTTTTCACTGCATTACTTTTAGAAGGCGTTCCTTTTCCCTGTTTCATAAAATGATCTCTGTGCTTTAAAAAGTTCCTAATGGAAGTTATTCACAGATTCTAACACTTTCTTGTCTTTGAGCACAAGGGGAGCACTCTGTAAGGGCCATGCATGTCTCCCTAAATGATACATAGAGGACGAGTGACGGTACGTTATCCAGAAGGCAAAATGCAAGACAAAACTGGATCACATTGCTCTTGTACATGTTGTATTTGTTCCATAAAGTACTGCCACGAGCCCTCTGTTTAAGAGCATAGTCACATACTTTAGTTCCACGGACATAGTGAACAGCCTCTGTTTTAGAGCATAGTCACATACTTTAGTTCCACGGACATAGTGAACAGCCTCTGTTTTAGAGCATAGTCACATACTTTAGTTCCACGGACATAGTGAACAGCCTCTGTTTTAGAGCATAGTCACATACTTTAGTTCCCACAGACATAGTGAACAGCCTCTGTTTTAGAGCATAGTCACATACTTTAGTTCCCACAGACATAGTGAACAGCCTCTGTTTTAGAGCATAGTCACATACTTTAGTTCCACGGACATAGTGAACAGCCTCTGTTTTAGAGCATAGTCACATACTTTAGTTCCCACAGACATAGTGAACAGCTCACTGTTACACCCAGGCCCATGATCCCATGGCCCACGAGTCTGTAAGTCTCTATGTTCAAGCAGCATCTGCATAAGGTTGCAGTGCATTGCAGTACAATATCTGCCCCAAATGACAATCCCCCTGGATCAGAGCCTATATGTTTGCATGAAGCGATCATAACACTGCAACTGTCATAAGCTATGGGATGTAAGACCGACATAGCGCTACGAGTGCTTTATTTAAACTGGGCCCAGCTTCAGTGTCAAGGTAGCAGAAATCTTCACAAATCACAACCTTGATCAACATTTTTGTGGGTCTTATATAATATACAACAGGTATAACTCGGGTTCACTGTGTGCAACTCATTGCCTGCTGTATGAAGTCATCAAAGTCTTCAATATGACATAAATAGCAAGTTCTTAGAGAAATTTGATTGGCTTCTTGCTTTTGAAGAATTGGCATTTAGAAATTTGCCCCATCTCTCTCGAAGATTGAATTTGTATTGTTTCTTTTTTGAGAAACATCATTACAGATGTATCATATTTCATTTAGTGGAGTTTGGCCCGTCACAAATAACTTTGCAGACTGTTAATCCTATGCATTCTGGCATCCATTGTGTTTCCGTTTGTGGTACTGATTGAAATGACAGCAAGTGTTCTTTATATCAGCACATATTGTTAGTGATTATCTCCCTTTGGTAGCCGCGACAAAAATCACCATCGTCTTAGTGTCATCTTGTCAAGATCACTTGTCACTTCACAGACGGTCGAGGTCGCTAATTCCATCACATGCGCTAAAGACCACCGCTAGGTCTCAAACGCCCTCAACATGTTTTGAATTAAAGCGTGCTTTGGTCGTAATAGCAGCCATTGTTGCAGTGACATGCTCAATTTAGATTGTGATTAATGACTACTTAATACGAAAGTGTGACGTCCTATTCAGGGCAGTCCTTTGCTTCGTTTCCGCCGGGCTTGTTCATCAAACCTAATTCTTCACAGTCCTTTTTCCACCGATTTGGCAAATCGGGTAATAATGGTATAATTGCCTCTTGCTGACAAGCCATGAAACAGATTCAGGTGAGAATTTAATGGACTGCGAAAGGTAGGTTTTTGTGATTGGGTAGAAAACGGCATGTTTTCATTAAGAAGGCTACGGATGAATTCTTGTTAAATGATGCGAACACTATAAGTTAAACATGTTCCATTCACAGATTGGGCCTCAGGCTAGTATTTGACGACTGTAGAAAGAATTGGTGTTTTCCATTAGATGCTGTGGAAGAACTTGCTGTAGTAAGTCGTACCACCGTTTGAGGTGTATTATGAGTTAATACATGGATGTGGAAGAAAATGGCATAGTATGTCATTACTGTTCAGGGTGATAGTAGGTGTTAAAAGGACAATTGTTCTTACGTTTGTGCGGTGAATTGTCATTTTGTGAAAGCTTTTACCATCTGCTGAGTTTAAAAAATACTTGAATTTGAATTTGAAAAATGGAAGAAATAATATTTCAAACCTAAAATGATATGATATGGTACATGCCATAATTGGCTAAATGAGGGCTCTAAGACATAGGGGCGCTTATGAAGATCAAGCATTAACTTGAATATCATAGGTGATATTTGGACGGATGCTTTTAAGATTAAATAGGGTACTTTTTCTTGCAGAACTAAAACGGCAACATGTTGTATCTAATCAAGTCTTTATTTACCATAAGAACATACATCCTTATAGATAACAACTTCTGGTTTATTGCATGTAGTGACATTTCGATGGAGATTCTTACACCGTTATCAAGCTGGAGTATATGTTTCTAGACTGCCAAATCAAACACTTGATCTACAGGTTTTGTCTTTTGCATGACTTCACCTCAGGTGTGCGCATTGAAAACTGATGATGACTTTCAGTTTTCTGTTGACAATTGTCGACATGAGTATGTTGGAGAAGTACATGGTTGAATCTCACCACAAGGGGAACACATACAGACAGGCATGGGAGATTATATGGTCAAATAGGGTGTTGATGAATACTATTTCATACTTAACGCTGCAACTGCTGAATGTTTAAGTGGCATTATGAAAGCTGTAGTGTCAAGAATGACTGAGTTCATTCACTTTCTGGATAAAGGTACGAGCATTTCATGAAGTGGTGCATTGAAAGAGTAAGATGTTGAAATACATATCCACACTGTGTTGCCGTCAGTGCAACTGCTAAACAGCTATTTTGCTAGGCTTTCCTGAGATGGAAAGTTGATAGATAGTTTTGTTGATTCTTTGTGATATAAGATTTCCACTTCCAAGGCCTTTTGTTGTCAATTCAGGTCCTCTTTTCATTTGTTCATTAAAAGCTTAATATTTTTCTACTGTTTTGAAACACATTGTACTTAATCATCGTAACCAGAAGATGACTTGTTGTTGATGTATCAGGGCTAAAGAACAATCAGATCCTGTATGTGTATATATGTTGCTCTTGTTATAAACTTGTACTAAATTCTTTGTTAGGAATTTTATTTGTTGGTTCACAATTTTTTTTCTAAAATTCACCTAATTATAAAACAGTAGGCAAATTTTGTTGTGAGACAAAAGTAATTTTATTTTATTTCTACTTTCAGGTGTTTTTTCTTGGTCGCATATCTTAAACCAATTAAAAAATAATAAAAGGCCTTACAACTTTCTGAATCCCTCCTTTGGAAACCTAATATGAAAATAGGGATATTGGGAAAGATGTGGGAAATTATAAATAAACAGAGATTATTATACGAGCATGTGTGTCCTACTGGTTTTATGAAACGAGTGTCAGAATTCTTGTAATTCCTGAGTGAGGGTGATGGTAATACATGAATTCTTACACAAGCCAAAAGTGTTTCATATTTGAAAAAATGCAGTGAAGCATTGTCAGAAAACGATCAACCAAAGAATGTTTTATACTGGGGCTACTAAAGGGGTGAAATTGAAAAATAGGTTGTGTTGGGTATATATAGTAAAATATTACCGGTTTTAATGAGTAATCCTTAGTTGATAATTTCTGTTTTGCAATCTTGTACATATATTTGGCGCAAAAGACATGTTTGTCAAGCAAGATTTTCAATTTTCCCATTTGCAGAATAAGAGATTCATCACTATTTTACCAGTGGCCCTTTCACAATTCACAAAGGCATTTATTATATATTCTTTTATTTCAAATATATGATTGTACTAGAGCTCCACACTTTAACTGTAATTTGAATCCGTAATGGGGAGCTGAAAATTATGTAGTGTATTACGTTATTTTGGGCGGTCATTTTGATTTCAGTGTATACGATTTGTTAGAATTCTTTATGATGTTGTGCGTAATAGTGCATGATGATGATACGAGAGCTGTGGTCATTTGTACAGCAGTATTGGGATTGATTTAAATATGTACATTCATCATGGATGTGAAATATGACAAACTTTAGTTCTTAATGTAACATCCCAATGATTGTTTCTACCAAACTGAAAAGTATTCCTACCACACAAAATAAAGATTGTATGGTATTTCTACCAAACTGAATATAAATTGTATTGTATTGTATTGTATTTCTACCAAACTGAATATAAAGTGTATTGTATGGTATTTCTACCAAACTGATTTTAAATTGTATTGTATGGTATTTCTACCAAACTGAATATAAATTGTATTGTATTGGATTTGGAGCACACACGTAATTAAAACAATGAAATGGAAAATGAAATTTAAAAAGAATTTCTGAACGTACACCGACATGTAAACAAATATTTAAAGACATTACAACTTGAAAGCTGTACCCGGTAGATTACTTTGTAATGCTATTCCAACCACTTAGACACTGAGGCATTCAGGAAACGTCCTACAATGTCAGCCACTTTTGTTCAATTTGCCACTATCGTCTTTCTCGTTAAATCAACCCAAGTGGAGACTGCTTGAAGATTTAATAGAGAAACAGTTGGGTATGAGATAAAAAAAATTGTTACAAAGACGTTCATGCAGACTAACTGTGGACTAAGTTGAAATACAAAGCGGTATGTGTGAGACATGATGAGGATGGAGCTACAGGTAGGGAGGAGTTGATATCTGTGTGGCCTCATCTACATCTATCAAGGACTGTACCAGTTGTGAACTTGACCACGCTGAAATGTGACTGAAATTGATTGTCAAATAACGAGCCTGTGATCCTCTTAGTGTGATGGATTGCATGGGGCCCCCAAGGGGACACAGGCCCAACTCCAGTCACTGACAAGCTAGTTGGGGTGTGATTTGCCCATAGTAATAATAATCATAATAATAATGATAAGTACATTATGATGGTCCATATTCCTCATACTGTATGTGAATGATGAAAGTGCTACAGGCAAAATAGCTATTATGTTATTATGTGTTTTATTTATGTTCAAACAGTTACTTAAAGACGGATGAGATATTGTTTGTAAGGTTTATCATGCTTAAAAACAGCTTATGATATGCCTTTTGCACTGTGTCTATGAGAGGGAGGTATTATGTCATTTATCAGCATTTCATCCTTGCTGTAGCCTTTGTTCATTGATTTACATATCATATCCATGGCTTGGGATTGACTCCCTGCACACACTTAGTTCAGAATAATAAAATCCGTAAAAAGTAACAAAAGGGTAATTTTGGGCTAGGACACATAAACTGTCATTATGTTTTAAACAAGTGTCCTCAAGTCAATGATCTTTCACCTGTCTTGAAATGCTTGGCACAGATTCATCGTTTCCTCCAGGAACCGCTAATTGCCTGGTCACACTACCAACTCAGCAAGTGTGCCTGCACCAAATGTTACTCTTTTACATTGTTCCTGTCAATTTGAGGTGTTTTTTAAAGTTGCACATATTGTATATATTTTCAGAATCAGATGAAGAATGGCTTAAAAGCTACAAGCTTGTTTGGAGAGTAGATGGCGAACAGTTTAGTGCCAATGTCACAGGATATGGACGCAAGGTTTCCTCTCGAAGTGTGTTCACCTTTACAAGAGCTGGCACCATCCATGTTGGTAAGCGGGGGGGGGGCGCTCGGGGGCTCACAACGGGGGTACACCAGTACCACTCTTACAGCACTTCACATTCACAGACACAGAATGCAATCTTAGGCCATTATTTCTTTATTTTCCAATGTCACAAGACAGAGAGAGAAAATTATGTCCTATTGAACATAATATTTGTGTGTTTTTTAAAACAACACTGAGTATGCAAAAAAAACCTCATGTGGAACATGTTTCGTCCCCAAAAAGATATGTAGATTTTGATAATTTTTTTCTCTCTGTTTTTGATGAAACAAAGGTTGGTGGACCTTCAATCAACCAAATGTGAACTCAATGGCCTCTGGTTGCCCTGTCATGCAGCCATACATACTGATACATGCTCAGAGAGTTTGGGCATTGATGTGTATAAATGTCTTGTTAACAAACTGATGCAACTGACAGAAACTGCCAAAGACAGGAACAAGATACATAAAACTCCAATGGGAAGGACTTACATGAAATTTTCAAACTTCTATCATGCTTCAAAAGAAATCTGTGTCCTGTTTAGTTCTTTTTTCTGTAATAAAAATGCGTTATTGTTATCAATTTGTTTAAGATAAGCTAACAAGCAAGGGACAGGTACTCCTTTCAATGTTTAAAGTCATTTTGTGGTTGAAATTTTGCATAAAGGAAATCTTCATCTTAAAACTGGTTTGAACCTTGGTATTGTCACCGAAAAAGAAAAATGGTTGGAATATCCCAGACAGAACTCATCATCGTCAGACGCACATTCACCAGTTTTCTTTGAATCTTCAGTCAGACTGATGTGCATATCTCAAGCTGGATAACTGTCAATGTTTCGTATCCCTGTATTCTTTTATACCTCGTGTGATGTATGTAGCCTGGCACCATTTTCAGAACTAGTAATGGATATGGATAGAGGAGTCAGGCCCCCCCTCGTGGTGAGCCCAGTCCCCATGTGGCGGCCACTTGCAGGAATCCATTGTGTTGCATGTATTTACACCGCAGTGCCCAGTGCAGGGGGAAGGCACACCCTCCGGCTCATATTGTTTCATTAACTTTATTTTTTTCAGGTGGTATTTATCCCACAAGGTGTAGGATAAGGCCGGTCCTTTTATAGGCAAACAATTGGTGCCCCTCTTGTAATGTCAAAAACATGAACCACACTGTGTGCCCAACATGAAAAGAACGACTAGCGGTTGTTTCTATTTCCATGGTGGCTCTTGTGACCCTTATTTGATTCTATGTTCTGGCTCTTGCCACTTGTGTTTTATATCAGTGTATGGTGTTGTAGATTAGCATGCTGGGGACATATTGTCCTGCATAAACAAAGAGACTTTTCAACATGCTTGTTCAATGCACTTTGGCTGTGCAGACAAATTGTCTGGACAGAAGTATTGACTGGTGTTCCTTCAGAATAGGATCATGGTTGAAGACATTTGACTATATAGTCTTTTTTAGCTGGGTACTATCTGAAGGGGGACTCATAGAAAACCTTGATTTCCCAAGGCATTCTTAGAGGCTGATATTTAGTCCAAAAACTGCAGAAAAATTAAGTAAAGGACAATTCCAAATTTACAATTTCGTGTGATTAAAATTGAGTTTAATGTTTCAACTTTGCAAAGGTGTATTCTATTTCACTAACAACAATACTAATAAAGAGAAATATAGTTTTACATTACTTAATTGAGTATTGTGTACAACCTTAAATTCCATAAATGAGGGCTTTGAAAAAATCATTTTTTAAGAATATTTTCTTCTCCAAATTATCTGCATCCAACACTAAGTTAAAACTCCCTGGGAAATCCCTGTTGCTGCAGTACACTACCACCTGCCCTGACCCTGGTATTACACAAACTGCTTCATTCTGAACATATACTGTTTGGAAGGACGCAATAGATACAAACAACATTATGCTGAACCAATGTTTTGTTAATTTAGAGAAATTTGTTTATGTGGACAATTTCACTTAATATGGCACAATCAGGGTTTAGTTAACGCTGAATGAGACGACCACAAAGGATATAGTGCATGTAATAGATGAAACTGAGAGACAATTGTTTCTTTCACAAATCGGTTTACCAAGAAAAAGAAAATCTGGCCCTATGCACCATGTGTTATTTGGTTTGATTAAACAGCTACATGAATATTTCATAAATCATATCAAAAGGTTCCATAAAACCAAATTTAAGGTGTTTCAGTTTGACACATTGCTCAATGCATTGTCCATGACTACACAAGTGTTTTCAATTTTGAGGACATTTGAATTCAAATCTTAACAATTCAACCAATCAAATATCATTCATGGATGCGAAAAACGTCCAGCGTCTATAAACATTAGAAGTTTGCTGATTGTGTGGAGAATGGGTATCGGAATGCCAGGAACAATAAAACGAAATACGTTGCAGGTGCCATCAAGATCCATCGTCGGCGGAAGTTCTACGTCAGTTTCAAACATTTGTGGAACATATGATTTCTTGGATATGAACAATAGCAGCAATTGCCGATGCAGCCCCTAGAATCAGTTGACCTTTAGACATAGAATGATGGGCTGCAAGCATTTGAAAATCATGAAGACAAAATATCAAGGAAGTCACGATTTGAACATTTAAAAAGTCATGTTAGTATTTGTGAAATGTATGTGCGAAATCTGTCATAGAAGTCAAGGAAGAGCGCGAGGACTGTGCTTAAAGGTTAAGAAAACCTCTAAAACCCCAAGGTTTTCATAATAGATTTGTCAGGAAAGTGTCATTTCAAGCCTGTTTTTGTTACTGCTGTAAAGCCGTGGTTAGACAATAATGGAAGGCTTACAATCTGTTTAATGTGTAGGCCAGTGTCTGGGGGTAGTTGGAATAATGCCGGCATGAATGTGTAGCAATACACAAAACTGGGGGACAAGGAACACACCAGTCACTATGGCATCATTGTAAGTCATGGTATCATCTTATAAAACTGCACTGACATAAACTTGGTGGATATGGAACTGTGGTATCAGTGACAGAGTTCCTCGGCCAGGACTGCTGACTTTTAATGAAAACTTTTTCAGAATTTATTTTTTTCAACCAGTTTACAGATAATTTGGCGAAAGTTTCTAATTGTTTGAGAATTTTATGATTTTTTTCTGCTATGAAACATTATCTGAATATGTTCATGTGTACACCGTTAGTGAAGCTTGTCTCATCATTTTACCTAATGTAACCTTTTAATCTATTTATACAAAACATATTTTTGTTCTGAACATAAAAAAATGTATTCTGCAGAATAAAAACAAGTAGTGATTTTCAGATTATTCTTTTCCTTTTTCATTTTTTTCATGTCCGTGTAATTTGTATACCAGTTTAAAAGATGCCTTGTCTTTATGTCAAAACATTTGTCGTAGGCTTACTTTTCTTAAATGTCCCATGATTTTCCAACACATTAATATATAGTGTGTTTTGCACTGTGCGTATGTATTGTTGTTTAACAGTTTATGCATGTCCCAGGAATCTCACATCCTGTCGTAAGCTTGCTTGACTCACACCTAAAAGAAGTGATTGTTAACAATATATTTTTACACTAACCTACACTATATTTGGGGTGTGGTAGTTTCGGGTACCTTATGTTTAGAGTTTGGTTCCCACATGTATTTCAGTGAAGATTTTTGTATTCAAATTTTTAGTTCTAAACCATCCAATTTGTATATTGTTCACTTATGGCTGGCGTGAATTGAATTTTTAATGTCTCAAAGCACTTAAGTTGTCTCTTGATGATTCAGGCACGTTATGTACAGTCACTCACGTTTTGCCCACCCCGCCCTCCACTATAACTGGACGTAGTTGTGAAAATACCTCCTGGTTTGCCGCAAAACCTTCCCGTCCAAATAAACTGCTTCCTCATTTTGAAGAATGAGTCAGTTTTGTCAAACAGTGATTCACAACCTTGCCACGATGAACCCAGTCTTAATCCTGGACAAGTAATGCATTGTGTGTTGACAAACCCATATAAGTAGATGTATAATTATTGGTAGATGCAGTCAACCAGCAGTGGGTGGTGCACACCCTTGATACACACTGTCCAGAAGATGGGAATCGCCTTGTGATAGGCATCACACCTTGGTTACAGGACCATCACCAAGTGACGTGTACACTCCAGTCAACGATTGATCAGTTTCCTGCACTGATGCAATGATCAATAATTAATATAATTGATTGTGGAGAAATGCAAAAGGATATTTGCAAATTTGCATAATGCAAAAGATTAATCAAACTCTTGATCGGTAATAATTATTCATGAACAAATGTATTTTCAATTTGCAGCTAATAAGGTATTTTCTTTTATGAAATATGATACTAAAAAATTTAACTACAAATCTTTTACATACAATTTCTGGAAAAGACAGACAATTTATTGTTATAATCCACATTATAATAGTACGACAAATAATTGATAAATAACTGAAAATATGTTCCAAACCAATTCTCAATACTGGAAACTAAGCATTTACCGTTAACATGCATAGATGAAGATGTATAGTGTGTGTTTTGTGTGTTTAATGTTGATCCAACAGTAGCATGGATGATAAGGTTTTTCTGTGTCGGCTGTATTGTTAGCAGAGTAAGATCATTTAACGATTTCTTCAAATAGCAGAACATCTCTCAAACTTTAAACTTGTGTCTGCCCTCATCCATCTTCGAACCATTTTACTCTATATTTCCATCCCAAGTAATAATCCTGTTATGCAATCTTATGGGAAACTTAGACATGCATGGCGAACAAGTGATTTGTTGTCTGTTGCCTTGGCCGTTAAACTGCAATATTGATGATGAGAACTTCACCACCTATCTTCACCTCCTTGAGAAGATCATCCTCTCAACGGAGATCACAGGTTGCAATTTCTCTACAAAGGTAAATTATCCATCACGCTGAGTTATGGGAGATATTTTGATAGGCAACAAAGGCTGTTTGTAGGCCCATTTCCCTTTTCCTCCCCTTAGACAAGACTATTTGTTCAACCCTTCAGAAAGTATCGGGTA